TTAAGAGAATGCTCTCTGAAATAGTTACATTTATTACAGACAGAGCTGGCATTAATCATCAGCATATGGAGGCCAAGGACACCCCCAGTGCAGTTACCTGGTTTGCAGATTGGGGAAGCCAGGTTGACACTGCTACCGAATTGGAAGTCTCTCTTCCTCTGAAGTGTTCTACAGATAATCCCTGATTTATTATCATAATTGAGTCCATAATTATGGTTGTAAGTCATGGTGCTCTTCCTGTTTTTACAACCCTGTATATAAATAGTTGTTAAGTGAATGACAGAGTTGTTAAGTCAACCCATTTTCTTCCGTGGGTGTTTTTTGCCGAAAACTCGGAGTAAATGCTGGAAACTGGGAAAAATATATTGAAAATTGAGTTCTCATGACTGTGGAATGCTGTAAATGGCTGTAAATGCGAACTGGTTGTGAAGCATCCAAAATGTGACCATGTGACCATGACCATGCAGGAGGGGGTGTGGCTTTTGGAACTCTGGAACTTAGTCATATGTAGCTCTGGGGAAGTCTGTTGTAACTTTGAATGGTTGCTAAGCGACTAGTCATTAATCGAGGATTATGTGTATATGATGCTTTCTGTCATATCTCCATCCATTTCACTATCAGTCTAGAAGATCAATTATTGGAGTATCAACTTCACCTCATCTTGCAACCAATTGCATTTGTGTACAGATATCACATCCTTCCTACCGTCAAGTGCAGAAAATCAGGAGTTCAGGCAGTTCAAATGAAAGTATAGGCTTATGTAAGCTAAAGCTCCCTACAAGTATCTGACCTACTAATGATCAAAGCAAATTGGTAATAGATAAGAGTCCACGGAATTCCAGGTAGACTGGATTTTGATCTCTTGTGGACACGAAGGGATTCAAGACTAATAATGCATTTAACCACTCTCTTGGGCTCAGCCTGGTTATCTCCTACATCTATGTTACCATGGTGCAAAACCTCAGGGACTTTGTCACTTATACCTGAGCAGTTGGGGCTTCAACCCACACTTGCCTCTCACCTCAAATAGAGCTTATTAGTCACTTACCTCTTCTCACATTTAACTCAATTCATTTGAATCACTGGCAGATGGACTGAACATTACATTACACATCTTAATACTGCTCAGATACTCCATTGACCTAACCTTTTGTCTAGGTAGGTTGGTGCCAGGGATCTTCACCCTGGGTCCTCCTCACTCTCTTTCAGCAGTGGACTTTCTAGTTTAAGTTCTAAATTCTGCCAACAATTGAATCTTATAGTGCAATTTGGGCAGAGATGTGGCCAAATTGCAGCCTGAAGGTGCAATAAAATAAAATAAAATAAAATAAAACCAGACAACCACTGCCTCTGAGTTATTGCATTTGACAATTGCTGAATAAAATGACTCTTAAGGAAGTTCAGTAAGTGTGTTCTAATGTTTTCTCCCCTTCCTTTTATTACTTCATCTATATTCAGATTAGAACTGCCTTAATCTGAAATTGAGGCACAGGCACAGAGAACCAAGAGAGAGAAAAAAAGAATATCTGCATAATGTGTGGCCATTTTCAAAACCATTTTATGTACATGGAACTTCTATGAATGCTTGTAGATGTAATAATCCGTCAGATGGCTTGATTAAAGGAGCCAGGCTTGGACTTACTCAGCTTTTTTTCAATAAAGGGAAATTAACTTTAACAACTTAATTACAACAACTTAATTCAAGTTGTTCATAACTGTATAGGTAAGTTTCAGCAATATTCCCTTACTCTGGCATATAGGTGAAGGCACTGCTTGATGACATCCTGGAGAAATTAACGGATGAATTTAACATTCCTGAGCTCATGGCCAAAGCAGAAGAGAGAACACCATACATTGTGGTTGCCTTCCAGGAATGCGAACGCATGAACTTTCTCACTAGTGAGATTAAGCGGTCACTGAGAGAGCTAGACCTGGGACTGAAGGTACAAACTCCTCCCCCTCCACTTTTTGTATAATTTTGAACACAATTTAGAGACAACAGGAAAACACTCAGTTTATGAGGGGTAGCCTACTATCTGAAAGCTAATGTTATAAAAAAGAACATTATACACCCATGTGAATAAATAAATATAAATAAACAGCCAGTTTGATGTAGTGGTTAAGGCGCTGGCCAAGAAACTAGGATATTGCCTTCCATTCTTCCAAGGTCAGTAAAACAAGGACCCAGATTGTTGGGGGCAATATGCTGATTCTGTAAACCACTTAGAGAGGGTTATAAAGCACTGTAAAGCGGTATATAAGTCTAAGTGCTATTGCTGTTACCTGAGGAATTGTCTTCTCCCATCCCATCCAGTCTGGCAGGGAGGATATGTTGTGGATACCATTAGTCAAATAATTTGGACTATTCCTATTGCTATTGTGAATTCTAGTCCTGCCTCAGGCATGAAGACTTGGGCCAGTCACTTTCTCTCAATTCAGCTCACTGGTGGTTGTTGTGGGGAAAATAGTAAGAGAAGGAATATTATGAAGGCTCACTATCTTGAGTTATTTGTAACAATACTAAAGGTGGGATAAATATACAATAAATAAATATACAGAAAATAGCTAATAACTTGCATTATCGCCATTTTGAAAACCAAGCAAAAGCTAGAAAAATGCCAATTCAATCAAATAATGATAAAAACTTGTGATATAACAGAAGTATCCAAACTATTCTACAAATATTTCCCAGTTATTTTAGGAGTGTTTCAAGTTGTTAAACTAGTTGATTTTCCATTTTTCTACCTTTGTTTGCAGCTGAAGGGTGAATGATTTTCAGATGTCCTGCAAATCCTGCCAAATGTGCTGTTTTCCCATGTTTCGTGCATTTTGGCTGAAACATGTTTGTCACACTCTTTTTTCTTACATGTTTTAGGGTGAATTAACCATGACCAATGACATGGAAACTTTACAGAATGCCATCTTCTTAGATATGGTGCCTGAATCATGGACCAGGAGAGCTTATCCTTCCATGTCTGGTTTAGGCAGTTGGTTCACCGACCTTCTCAATCGCATCAGAGAGCTTGAAACATGGACAGGAGACTTCGTGCTACCATCTGTGGTGTGGCTGGCAGGATTCTTTAACCCACAGTCTTTCTTGACAGCCATCATGCAGTCCATGGCCCGAAAAAACGAGTGGCCTCTGGACAAAATGACACTGCAATGTGACGTGACTAAGAGAAACCGTGAAGAGTTCACCAGTCCTCCACGGGAAGGTGCATATATTCATGGCTTGTTTATGGAAGGTGCACGCTGGGATATGCAGGTAAATGCAAAGATTTAAGGGTTGCTGCTACTTGATAAGTCACCAAAATCAGGGCATTCCTTATTGTGAAACAATAGTCCCAGAAGAATTAGACTGTGCATGGCCAAGACTGTGGCTCATCATTAACTTAGATTTACCACTTCTCTGGTGGAAATTCAAACTCACCTCCTGGAAGTATGCCATTTGTCTTTAAAAGCCTGGGGTAAGAGCTCTGCTATGCATATTCATAGCCTTCTTCTAAAATACAAAATTGGTGTTTTCTTGGAATTCATCATTTAGAGATACTGTAGATGGATTAAGTTAAAAACCATAATCATGATTTATTTATTTATTTATTTATTTATTTATTTATTTATTTATTTATTTATTTATTT